ACATCTTTTGGAAACTGTGAGTCTAAAGAAATGAAGAGGCTTCAGAAATTTTGCTTGCCAAGCCAAGGGAGAGCGTCAATAGAATACAATAAATGCCAACAATTCCTGACCAAGTTATAATTCTATGTATTTCATTTATAAATTATATTTATAATTTATAATTATATCTATAAATTAAATTCTTTTTACAAATATCATAAACGAAAGACTCTTATTTCTAGGAATTCATTGTTTCAATAATTTAAAAACGCTATAATCAGAGATTTGTATATAAAGCGTGTAAATATTCGTACGTATCTATTTGGTGATTGTATAAAGAGTTTAAATTTCTCTTTTAGATATTAAATTAAGAAAGCAACGACAATGTTTTCAGTTTAGAAATTGTCATCGAAAAATCGTCTTGTTCGAGTTCTTCAAAGTAAGCTATGCAAAATGTGGGCTGACCCAACGCATCGGTGAGGATTTTTATCTTGAAGAACTTTGTTTTAAAGAATTTCACGATCTTTCGTTTCAATTTCATGCTTAGAGTTTTTTTTTTTCTTTTTTTTTTTTTTTTAAATAGACATATATACCAAAAGAAAAATATGTAAAATAAATTAACACGTGTGGCATGGCAAATTAAAAGGAGAGTAAAATGTACAGTATGTATATGTAAGTAGACGATCTTGAATATCTGTCGTGCAAGAGGCAGTAAGGGCACAAAGTGTGTAATGTGCGAACTCATAAATTGCAAATTCAACGAGCGCGTGTGCGAGTAGAAGAGCGATGTCTACCGAGAGAGGGAGAGGCAACGGGTCAAAAGTCGCGAGTTGCTTACAGGAACTAGCTTGCCCTGGTTGAGAATGACGATAAACGACGCGAGGAAAACGACAAATTCCATCATTTCGTATTTCTTCAGCAATGTAACGAGTAACATTGAAGAACTGGCTTATAAACTGTAGGAAGTATACAATTTAGAAATCCTAATAAAATTTGAATATTATGAAATTCACTAAGAGGATAGAAGTCTTCAAATTTCAACTATATATACAACCTTTACGAGCTTGCAACGATGCATTTTTGAAAATCCATATTACCTTCCACTGTATATGTTACATACATGCCCTACGTATCTTTTTGTTTTCAATCACTTCGATACAAATTTGATATTTCAATCGTCGTTAATCCTAGCTTCAACACTACCTGATGTACTTTCAATCATATTATCGGCAAAGACAATGATAAACAAAAGCTGATCCACTGAGATCCACGAGTACATGCCTATTTGACGAGAAAAGCAGTTTCCATCTAGGAAACAATTATCTCGAAAACGTACGTTTATTATTCGATGCCACGAGCCAGCTCGTGTGTTAATCAGTCGCGGGTTTTAATCGTCTGCAGGATAATCGAGATCATTATTTCAATTCCGTCGCCGGGTGACGACAGCCGGCCGGGAGATTTCAACGTCCGCCATGCTCTCCTCTCAACTCTTCTTTCTCACAGACTATATTACCGTCTTAGCGGTATTTGTGAGATTGTAGCGCGACGGCGTCGGCACAAAAGGGGAGAGAAACTACACAGAGAGACGAGAAAAAGGTTTTGGAATGGTGGACCGGAATAGGGCGGTCAGACGTGAATAATAGGCTGCGCGCGTAATATCTAAAGTCCAGGAAACTAAAGAAAATAGAGGAAGAACAGGATAATTGGATAGCTGTTCTTAATATATGCACAGGCAGAGTAAATATTGGACGAGCTAACGCAAAATGAAAAAAAACGTATTTCGACTTTGTACCACATACATTGGTGCCACAAGTGTATTTGAACAACACTCGTTGCAGAAAATTTTTATGAACGTTATGTAGTTCATATTATACGATTATCACATTCTGATGCAAAACGTTCACTGCAAGCGTAAGTTACTACATTTTATAAAAAAAAATTCATACGTAGAATGAATAATAGTCTTAAATATGTGTTAATTAATGCCAAATGATTCTACTTAATATAATTGAATAATTTGTTATTCAAATGTTCAAGTCGCTTTTGCGACTTTTGCAAATCTAAATACTAATGTGTCTGTCTCTATTTATGTGCTCTAATACTGGAATAAATTATATAAAAGAATTGATAAAAATAAGAACAAGTGCTAATATAAATTAATAAATTATACAAAGGAACTTATAAAAATAAGGGGAACGAGTAGTATTTTTACAAGTTGCTTTCATCATAATAGATGATGCAATAGAATTTTCACCAATTCAACACCCTTAATAGCAATCGAATGTTATTCAAAGTGTTTCGTTTAACATCATCGAGTATTTCTTTTCTTATTTTAAACGACCAAGTATATTGAAGTCAATCACTGTATTTGTATACGTTCGTCGAAATTAATAATAAAGGAGGAAGCATTAGAAACAATGCACACAAATAAAGAGGAAATAAAGAGTCAAGCCTATGAATCGATGTCACTCGTTATAGTCCGCCTTACACGATCGACTTCAAACGCCGGAAACGAACCACAATGGCCGAATTATGCAAGCATTCTTTAAACGAATTACGATGCAATCAAATTGGAATCGAACAGACATTAGTTGAAAATGAGGGATCTTTCTTCAGAATCCTAAGAGGGTTATCAAGCTTATGTTATGTTGCTCTTATTTTAATCCTATCGTTCTCCTCAGATGAATATATTATAATTCATTAAATATCATTAAATATATGTATATGTAGTTCTTAAATATTTGCTTTTAGTAATATAATTCGATCTTTTGTACACGATATTCCATGCTTCTCGTAAATGTAGATAGCAAAAAAAAAAAAAAA